ACTCCATTTCCCTGAACAATAAAACAAAGTTCTTATTATATTTTACAAAAATTTCTGACACATACCATGGTAGAGACTGTGTATATATAAAATCCCAAGTGCTACTTCTTTCCTTTTTGGTTTTCTTTTATGTTTTGAGACAGAGTCACACTATGTAGCTGGTCTTGAACTCACTATGTAGCACAAGTGAGCCTCAAACTTGTGGTTATCCTCCTGCCTCAGCTTCCTTGGATTATAGGCAAGCATCACTAGGCCTGGAAAAGCACTTTTTCTTTTTCTTTTTTTGGTGGAACCGGGGATTGAACTCAGGCCCTTGCGCTTGCCAGGCAAGCACTTAGTCTACTGAGCCATCTGCCCGGCCCCATTATTTCTAATGAAGTTAAAAAGTGTATTAGATTGTTTCACATGTAGTTTCAGTCTGCATCCTAAACTATGCACTTTCCAAAAGTTTGTTGGCTGTCAGTGGCAGGGAGGGAGAAAGAGAGAGAGAGAGAGAGAGAGAGAGAGAGAGAGAGAGAGAGAGAGAGAGAGAGAGATCGGTCTAGGATGTATGTGAGACTCATTTAATGATAACAATTAGTATTATGTACCTCGACAGCTTCCAAAATGCTTTGCACACAGGGAACATTCCAAAAGCACTGACTGAATAAGGGTGCCATGACCTGTCCTTTACACAGTAGCAGCACAGGACCCTCTAGCAAATGACTCGTTCCTCAGTGAGGCTCCTCCAGATGTGGGCCCTCTTGACTTTGAGACGTGGATCACTTAACATTTTCACTGGAAAAAGTGCACCTTATTAGCAGGATCTAATCTTGCGTTGCCATGAAACTGGAGAAGCTTAAATATGGAAAAGCTAATACAGATAGGGCGGGGGTTCCTACCAGTTATTCAAGTTATTCTTGTCGAGAGTGATCAGGGGCCTCAGCTTCCATTACCTCACTCCTTAGGGAAGTGTGGGCTGGAGCCCAGCAAATCATGTGATTCAGTGGAAGAATTAAGTCTGGGTTTGCTTTGTGTCTCTGCCCTTAGCCAAATTAGTTTTTAGTACTTTTGGAAAAGACTGAAGCTCAACGTGGAGATCTAGTTTATTTTAATGCTATCAGGCAGCTAAATGGTGGAAACTTGAAGAAATTTCCTGAGCTGTTTCCTTAGATTAAAGACTTCAGTGAATTAATTTAAAAGGTTCTGAGAGATGGAACATGCCAGACCCCTACTGGCTCACAAGCTTGTACTTTCTTCCTGATGCGCCGTGACAGCAGAGCTCAACCCAAGGGGAGCTGCAGCCGGTAATGCGAGAGCTGCATTGATGGCTTCAAGCACAAGCAGGTGTTTGGCCTCAAACCAACCCTGACCAGGGAGTTCACATCCCCTGGACTCATTTCCTCTGGCTCAAGCACCCTAAGCTTAACAGAAGCTCAGATTTTGTCAAGGTGCTGAGATATTTGGTGAAAATTAAGTCGCAACCTTGGGAGAGCTTCGCAGATTTCCATGCATTTCATGTGTTGTAAATGTTGCTTTTACAGTATACACCTTAAATTGGTCCTCAATTATTGAGTTATACCCTTGCCAGTCAGTTCCAACAGCAAGTAACGGACCCCACAGTGAACTATACCATAAAGAGACATATGCCCCTTCATTTTAGAAATAAGCAGAGTTGCAGAAGTATTCAGTTTAAGGGTTGGGCATGGGAGTGCACACCTTTAATCTCAGCTTTTGGCAGGCTGAGGCAAGAGTATCGCTGTGAGTTCAAGGCTACCCTGAGCGGTGTGTAGTGAGTCCAGGCCAGTCTGAACTACACAGGGAGACCCTGTCTCAAAAAAGAGGGAGCATGGACCGGGAACATAGCTCAGTGGCATAAGCACCTGCCTGGCAAGCACAAGGTCCCCAGTTCAACTCCTGGTACTGCAAGAAAAACAACAAAAACAAAAAAAGAGGAAGCTGTGAATATTGTTCAGATGTAGTAAAGGCCGTCAGTTCAATCCCCACTACTATTGAAAATTAATTAAAATAAAGTTCTTGACCTAATTTTGGGGAGTGTTTCAGTTTATCTAGTTCAAAAGCCACAGTGTGTTTCATCAAAATGCCAACAATGAAGCTGAAAACCATCATCATTAATAGATACTTATAGTCAGAAATTGAATGTGCTCTGTTTATAATTTATTATTCAGCATGTGTTTATTGTGTAGTAGGCCTTGAAGATCCTTCAGTTCTTATTGTGTAGAAGTCACTCAATAGGAAAATCACCAGGCCCACATATGTCAATAATATATATATATATATATATATATATATATATATATATATATATATATATATATATATAGCATGTGTGTGTTATTGGTACCGGAGATTAAACTTGGACCTTATGCTTGCCAGGCAGGCACTTATGCTGCTGAGCTATCTCCCCAGGCCCTAGTAGCTATATGAAAAGGTTAAAAGAAAACTGATAAAACTCATTTTAATGTTCTATTTAATAATTATTTCATTTTCATGTGTGTGGCCACCTCAGCCTGCCTTGGGGATGAGGCAGGCTCAGCATGTGGTATCGGAGATAGAACCACAGTCCCTTGCCTAAGCTTGTGTAAGCAAGCACTTTAGACCACTGAGCTATCTCCCTGGCCCTAAATATATTTAACTTATTTTTATTTTATTTTATTTTATTGAGAAACAAATATCAATGAGACAGTTTCAAAGCTGATTAATAGGATAGTTTCAATAATTAATACCGGGGCTGGGGAGATGGCTCAGTGGAATAAGCGCTTCCCTGGCAAGCACAAGGACCTGAGTTCAATCCCCACATCTGCAAAAAAAAAAAAAAAATTAATATCTTGTACGTTGTTATCTCCTTAGTGGTTATCCATAGTACAAGAAGCAGACAGGATATCCTGTCCAGATACTATTAGTACAAATTTTTCTTCTTATTCAATTAAGCAAAAGTAGCTGTATATCTATCCTAACTATTCTGTATATACAAATACAAAATGGTCCTTCCTTTGTATCCCCTTTTTTTGTTTAGTCCTATCAGAGATGGGTATTCTATTGGCATCTAAATACTATAGGTGCTTGAATTCAGCCAAACAATCCAACACAATCTAGCAGTCCACAATAGTAGTGGGTTATCTGCAGAAGTTGTTGACTTGAGCCTTTTACAGGTCAGCATATTAATATGGCTTTACTTTATATACCTCGTTTTTCTACTTTTCTGCTGAAGAGTTAAGACCAAGATAAAGCAAGACCTATATAACAAGAAATGTAACTTTTGTATCTGATGATCTCAGTCAAGTACCCTCAAGATTTACCCTGTAACTCTGTACCACAGTTTGTAGATCCTTGTCAGTGTCAGCCAGGAGGATGAGTCACAGCCACTGCTTGACCAATTTGCTCTCTGTGAAAACCTGAGAGAATGTTTTCTCTCCAGGTGACTCTCCTTAGGCACACCATACATCATCAATCACTTTCTTCTGTGACTCCCATAATCTCCTTGATTAGAAAATTTGGGGCACCACTGAGTTACAGGATGTCACAGCACAGGTTCTTCTATGTCCTGAGTCTTCACTGACTTTGAAAGGCTAGGGTCAAAATGTTGGCTGACCTTGTAGCCCTTCCTTTTCTCCAATTTTTGATCTGTAATCTTAGGTTGTTAACCCTCCAGAAGAGAAGCTTATTATTACCCTGAAACATATGCAGTTTGGTTTACCCTAACTATCTGTCTAAATATCAAAAATCTTAGGCATAATTGGAACCAGTATTTTCCATCAAATATTGATGTGTTGAACTTTAAGTCATTACAGAATATGAAGAAAAAAATAATTTAAAAAATAGGAATAAACAGTTACATACTTTTACACAGAAATTTAGAAATCTAACCATATACAGCATTGTAGCGGGACAGTCCTGTGACATTTTTTTTTCTTTTTATTGTGCCTTTTTTTTTTTCATTTATTACCCTTTATTTATTTATTTATTCATTTTATTATTTTTTTTAATTCCTGTGCTTCAGTTTATTTCCTAGACTCTTATAACAAGAGCTTAACACAGAAGCAGTTGCTTGATGAATAAGTTTATTGGTCTTTATCTGAAAAATCTTCATAGAAATTTGGTTTAACTCTCAGCAGCACACTCCTGAGCTCTGAGGAAGCTTGCCTTCTTTTGAGCTACCGATCTTTCTTCTGGGCAAGAGACATTTTGGGTCGGTTCCACCTCTTCTTTTTAACTTCTCTCTTTGGCTTCTTTTCATAGACTGGATTCTCTCGTACAGCAGCATGAGCTTTCTTATACATCTCCTCCATCATGTCTGGAGTTACACTGTTCTTTATGTACTGAGAGAACTGTTTCTTGTAAGCATCTTCATTTTCTTCCATTAGGTAGCGCATAGAGTCTGCGACATTCTGACCCATGATGTGCTTCCAATGTACTTCTGCATTAAACTCCTTGCTTTCAGAGTCATAACCAGGGAATCGTTTGGTACTGTGAGGGATAGACAGGCCTCCCATCCACAGCACCCTTTAGGGCTCCAAAAACCTTATTGCCAGTTGTAGTTCTGGTGAGGCCTGCATCCAAGTAGCAGGTGAAGGCACCCGGTTTGCCATCAATGCTTTCCACATTGTGTTCATCTCCAGTCACCTCCACCTGGCCTTCATAGATCTTATCCATGCCAAACCTATTGAGAAGCGTGCGGGCCAGCAGCAGGCCAGTACAATATGCTGCAGCAGAATTTGTTAGGCCAACTTTCACACTATACTTTGGTAGTTCATGTGCATATGCTGCACAGACTATCATATCCCTTTCAATACGGGCATAAGCAATCTGACAAATGATATCTGTTAGTTACATGAACTATCATCCTGTATTTAGGCGTGTTGTACTTATTTTTGTCCTGTATTACCAAGCGTTTCCTAGCATAGTAATCAGTTTTGCCCTTCGTCGTCTTCTAAACTTCACTTGGTATCTCTTAAAGTAGGCCTTATTCTTGACAACCTTAACAAAACTCATCCTGTGTAATATAGACCCGTGTCCGCAGCCCTACACAGACCTGCAGGCCAAGCAGCACCACAGGGGGAAAAAGGTATTACCCTTTATTTAAGGAAAAAAAACTTTTACTTGAGAGACAATATGGTAATAATTGGTATGTCATGACAAAAAGTACATATTTACACTTGATCTTAGCCAAAAGGCCGAGAAGTAATAAGAAGTAAATATGTAGAAGATCAGAATGACAGGCATTCCAAGTGTGACCCTTCTATTTACACATTGGCATCTTCAGGGCAGTTGCTTGGTTCACAGGTATCAGCATATATAATTAGTCAGGGTGAGAATCCTATCAATTAACTGCTAGTTTC